CAGCGAATCGAGTTGTTGGTCTTGCCTTAGCAGGCTTCCATGCTGTGCTTGCAGCATTTAGATGTCACACTCAGCAATGCGGTCAGTGGCTGGGCTTAGGTGAGGATGCCATGGGTCTTCCCAGCTTCTCTGGTTCCTCCCTCATTTATCTATGGTAAGTGGCTTACTGATGGGTTCAACCTACTTAGAGTCCTGGCTCTGCCAAGGGAGGAATAGCTTTGGCTGGTTGTGCCAGCTTGAGACTGCTGAAGGGCTTCCCATGTGCTGTGCGCTCCTCTGACTGCTGACCCCGGGGACGGCAAGCTGGTGGGTTTCATACTGCCAATCCTCTTCCCCTGTGGTGTCCCAAGCAGGCCAGATTAGAAAGCCTTCGTCCTCAGCAAGTGGTACAGCACAAAGATGTGTGCCTCTGCCATCTGAGATCTGGTGTGCAGCATGGCTCAGGGATGTGACGGATGACACCTTTGCTCCAGCCGGGTATGAGCAGAGGAGCCGAGATGGTGTGTGTGCTCTGCTGTCTCCTTTCTTGGCTGCTGCAGCGAGTCCTGTGCCCAGACAGGGAGGAGGGGCCCTGGAGGCCAGGGCTGTGGCACGGTGACGGATGATAAGTTTTCCTTCATGTCTGGAGTGTGGGCAGGATGTGGGGTGACACAGAGGATGTGACTCGCTCTCCAATTCCCCTTGAATGTCATGGCCAGGGTTAAAGGAGACACTTCTCCCATCCCGTCCCTCTCTGCTCTCCAGTTGGAGTGACCAGCCAGCATGACCCCATGGTCAGCCTGCACTGAGCAGCAGCATCCAGTGGAGTTACAGTTGCCATTCTCCTTCTGGTCATGTGCCACTGGCCTAGAAATGCTGGCATTTTAAGCATTAAACAGTTTTTCTTATTGCTCTTTTAGTGAAATGCAGTGCTTGTTGTCTGTGTTGTAAAATAGATCCCTCAAAGTCCTTAAGCTTTCTGACATAGGAAGAGAAGGATCTCTCTGGGGGGATCCTTTGCTCATGTCCTGCACGGCTCTAGTCGTCTGAGCTGTCTTCCCTACAGCTTGGCCTGCTCTTCACTTACTGTTCCCCATCCTCTCCTGGCTACTGCCCGGCTCTTCTTTGTGGCCTGAGGCATTTGTCATGGAGGTGGGGAGAAGAGCCACTTGCCCCAGAGACACATGCAGATCAGCGGGGAGTCTGAGGGTCAAGTCCATGGAGGAGTACAAGGGCTACCCGAGTTGCCACCATGCATGCATCTGAGCTGCTTTCTTGGCCCCAAACTGAGGCGGGGTGCAAGCAGCTCTGCCAGGTCTCCTTTGCTCTGGCAGCTTTGCCCTGGCCACTGTGTGGGTGTGCTGAGTGCTTGATGTGACTGGGAAGTGTCTGACTACACAAAGCCATCAGATAGTCTGCAGAGCACGCTGTCTTCCACATGTCTGCTGGCTCCTTAGTCCTGGTGTAAACTCATGTGTGTAAGCATTTGCAGACAGAGTACATGGATAACTAGAAGAGCTGAAGGGACTTGTCTGCGAGTGCCTCTGCAGTGTGGAGCCTGCCCCCTGCAGCAGGTACAGGACTGGTCTCGTGTGATTCTTACCAGCTTTGAGCTCTCGGCTGAAGATACCTGGCTGCATCATTCAGACATCAGTGTCCCCAGGAAGCCCAGCTTGTGCTGGGTGAGGAGGGCTCCTACATGGCATCCAGGACTGGATTTCTCAACAGCTTGGTTTGCACTCCCCACGCTCCCTGCAGCTAGGAAAAGGTGGAGTTCCTGTGAGAGAGGAGCATGGCCGGATGTCATGGAGAATCCTTCTAGAGACTCTTGTCTGAGATGAGGGAAATGGTTCAGCTGACTTGGATGATGCTGACCATGAGTGATGTGCTGTCTTTCCAGATAACAGTGAGCTGAGTGCCCATGTGTTAACAACCCTTGGCTTAGGAAAATGCCATCTTAGAAAGAAGCAGTAGATAGAGCGTCATCGTTTTCAGCAGTGGGGCTGCTCCGCAAAGGAGTATTCCCACCAAGCCTCTCGCCTCCCCTGAGGACCATGTGCTTTGCTGACTTTCCCTGACGACCTCTTCTTAGTTTATTGAGAATATTGTGACCTCTTAGAAAAGAGGATCGGGAGAGATTGGGAAGAGAAAGAGAAACACTGATTATTACATCCATGCTTCGTATGTAATGCTCACTGAGTCAATACCAACCAGAGCAGGCCCTTTCTGTTTAAGTAGTCTGTGTAAATCAACTAAAGAGAAGTACCACTGTCCTTGAAGGCTTGAATGAGGCTGGTGTAGCATGGATGTTCCTACATGCAGAATCCTCCATCCCAGCTGCATCTTCCCAAGACTGTTCAGAGCGATAAAGAGGCGGAGGTAGGGCAAAAAGGCTCGGCTGCCCTGTTCTGGATCAGCAATTGCGGGGAAGAAAGCTCTTGTGCCAAAGATGACATGAAGAAGTGTCTCGCGGAAGAGAAAGAGTCTTGTTAGCTCCCTCCTTAGGGCATTCATCTGGAGCCAGGCTGCGTGAGCTGCGACCTTGTCAGATCCTATCAGTGGAGTGAGGGTGGGCTGGTGCAGGCGCTGTGTGGCAGCCCCCACATGAAGGGAAGCTGGGTCTCCCTGGGCCAGCCTGCAGCTGCCCCATCGCTGCCTCCAAAGCCACCTCGTACTGCTCTGGTTTCACTTCTTGCCTCACTTTTTTAACATAATAATCGCAAATGTTTCGCAATTTCTTATTTCCCATTTTGCTTTAAGGAGAATGTGCAAGCTATTTAAATGTCATCATTAAGACTGAAACTTCTGCAAGTCTGGGTTTCCTGGTTATCCTCCAGTTACCCTAAGCTCTGCGGTTCTG